GAAAGGCGCGCGCGGTCCCCCCCCCCCCCCCCCCGCCAAGGACCTCTTCCCCTCCCCGTGCCGTTTCTGCCTGCCGCAGAGCCAGGGGGCGGGCTCACCTGGAGAGAACCACCACCATGGCGTAGAGGTCGATGGCGCTGTCGGCAATGCGCTTCAGCACAAACTGTTCGTCTGCAGGAGCCCGGAGAGGGAGAGAGGAGGAGAGAGTTGAGGGGCAGGCGGACTCCGGCCCAGAAGAAGACGACGGGCATCACGGCCTGCTCCAACCTCCCATTTCCAAAAGGGGAAGGGTTGCCAATTCCGGGTTGGGGAATTCCTGGAGATTTTGGGGTGGAGCCTGGGGAGGGTGCGGTTTGGGGGAAGGAGGGACCTTGGCGGGGACGGCATCACAAGAGTCCACCCTCCGAGGAAGCCGTTTTCTCCGGGGGAATCGATCTCTGTAGTCTGAAGATCAGTTACAATTCCGGGAGATCCCCAGGCCCCACCTGGAGGTTGGAAACCAGTGTTCCCTCTAAGCTGAGTTAGTGTGAGCTAGCTCACAGTTGTTTAGCCTCCAACTACCACATTTTTGTCTCGGCTCAGAAAGGATGTGGCTCCAGAGCAGACTAATTTCTGCAGTAGGAGGAGGAGGAGGAGATTGGATTTATACCCCATGGCCCTTCACAACCCAAAGGAGTCTCAGAGCGGCTGACAAACTCCTTCCCCTTCCCCTCCCCACAACAGACACGCCCTGTGAGGTAGGCGGGGCTGAGAGAGCTCTGGCAGAAACTGCTCTTTTTCAAGAACAGCTCTTATCAGAGCTATTGCTTGCCCAAGGTCATCCAGCCAGGTGCAAGTGGAGGAGTGGGGAATCAAACCCGGTTCTCCCAGATTAGAGTCTGTGCACTTGACCACTACACCAAACTGGCTCTCACAACTTTAAGGCCGGTAGCTCGTAAAATAGAATTTCTGCTCGCCGGACCCCACAGCTTAGAGGGAGCATTGTTAGCAACCCTAAGCAGGGGCCGAAGCCAGCTCTGGTCTGAGCCCGCAAAGCCGGAGCGCTCGGCGGCTGCATCTCCACGACCCTGGCTCCATATCCCCTCCGCCCAGCAGGGAGACCTCCCCTGAGAATCTTTAGCGGGACTTTCCCTCCTCCGCCTGGTGTTCCAAGCCCAGGGTCCCCTTTGGAAGCCGCCTTCCCCGTTCCAGTTTCGGGAAAGGGGGTGGGGAGTGAACCCCCTTCCTCTCGCCATCTTCCCAGAGCCTCGGCGGCCAGGGGGCTTCGCTGGCTCAAGACGGAACACGGAGCCACCCACCGATTATCTTTTTGCCGTGCTTCAGGAGCTGCTCCTCCACAGCCCCGGCGAACAGATCGATGGCCCGGACCGTCTGAGGAGAAGAGAACGAGGAGGAGGAGGAGAAGGAGATTGGATTTATGCCCGGCCCTTCACTCGGAGTCTCAGAGCTGCTTACAGACTCCTTTCCCCCTCCCCTCCCCACAACAGACACCCTGTGAGGTAGGCGGGGCCGAGAGAGCTCTCTCGAGAACTGCCCTTTCAAGAACAGCTCTTAGAGACCTGTGACTGACCCAAGGCCACCCAGCTGGCTGCATGTGGAGGCGTGGGGAATCAAACCCGGTTCTCCCAGATTGGAGTATGTGCACTTAAACACTACACCACACTGGGATGGGGAGGGTGAGAGGGGGAAGCCGCACGAAGAGAGAGCAAGAGGCGCAGACTACCTACGCGGCCAGTTCCCATGCGAGGCCAAGCCCATTACAGAGGGGACACTTGAGAGCCGAGGGCCCTGCTCTTTCTCGAGCCACTCGATGCCTGAAGGGGGAATCCGAAGGTTTGCACCTGGGGTCGCCAACCTGGGGCCCGTGGGCACTGTGTCGCCCACCAGCACTTTCCCTGGCCCCCACCAAGAGCATTCAGAAAGCGGGTGGGACCCTGTGGTGCTTTGGCCCAACAAGCCTTCTGATTGGCTGTGCAGATTTTTAAAAACGCTGCTTTGGCAGCGGCGGCCACCACGGCAGAAGGGTCTTTCCTGAAGGTCAGCTGCTGCAGCTGTTTAGGGTCTTCCTCGGGGAGTTCAACAGATGAACTCCCTGAGGGAAAAGCTCTTCCGCCAGGCTTTTGAGCAGGGGCCATCACCGCCACTACCACCACCGCATATATGTGGAGCAGGCCCGTCAGGGTAGGCTGATGAGACATTGGAACATCATGGCTCATGCCGTCCCCCTTCTGATTTCGATCTTGGACCTCTTCCTGACATGTAATGGAGAGTGTGCAATTTTAGTCCTCCATGTATCTTGTGAGTTGTGAACGTTTTTAGCTTCTGTTGTTTTTAATGTATCTGTTTTATAGCACTTTGTGCTCTGTAAGCCGCCCTGAGCCTGCGTGCGGGGAGGGGCTAGATAGAGAATGAATGAAATAAATAAATAAATATTTCCAAACAAAAGGTTGCCAAATACCAAGGTATTTATCCAAATATCACCAACGAACGCTGCAAAAAGTCTCTCTTAGGGGAGCTCAAGCACGTGCTCTTCACTTTGGAGGAAGCCTTGAGCTCACGAAGAGAGACTTTTTGCAGCGTTCACTGGTGAAATTTGGATAAAGACTTTGGTATTTGGCAACCTTGTGCTTGGAAACGTCTGTTGAACTCCCCGAGGGAGACCCTGAAACAGGGGGATATCTGGACCTCTGTTGGAGGAAGAACGAGCACTAATTCAAAACAGACTTAAAGGAGTCCTCCTCCTCAAAACCTTTGTACAGTTAAGGAGGACTGGTATTAACAAAGGGGTCGTGCAATATCTTTTGTGATATAAGAAGATGATACTAAAAATTCTGGATGTATGATTCTTTCTATGGGATAATGTTTACGTGACAATACAATGGTGAATGATTTATAAGAAAAAAATTAAAAATATAAAAATATATATAAAAACAAATCAAAAATATATACAAATTACTTGAGATACTTACAGGGGGATATCTGGACCTCTGTTGGAGGAAGAACGAGCACTAATTCAAAACAGACTTAAAGGAGTCCTCCTCCTCAAAACCTTTGTACAGTTAAGGAGGACTGGTATTAACAAAGGGGTCGTGCAATATCTTTTGTGATATAAGAAGATGATACTAAAAATTCTGGATGTATGATTCTTTCTATGGGATAATGTTTACGTGACAATACAATGGTGAATGATTTATAAGAAAAAAATAAAAATATAAAAATATATATAAAAACAAATTAAAAATATATACAAATTACTTGAGATACTTTGGAATTGTCTGTAGCACGGTATTTGCTGGTTTTTGGTATTTCCTGCTAACTGTGGGTCCTATTTTGGTTTTGTGGGCAGCTGTTTGGGACTGCCCCCCCCCCGGTGTCAGAATTCCAAAGGCACCCGCGGGCTCAAAGAGGTTGGGGACCCCTCGGCTACACCATCCCGAGAGTTGGCCTGCGTCGGACCCTGTCCTCCCTCCACTCTCTCTTGTCTTTGGCTGACTGCCCAGGGCACCCCAAGGGTTCACTCGCAGGGAAAGGTCCTTCCCAGCACCTTGGTGAATGGCTCTGCCCCCCAGTTGTGGCCAGTGTTCCCTCTAAGCTGAGCTAGTGTGAGCCAGCTCACAGTTTTTTAGCCTCCGGCTCACACATTTTTGTCTTCGCTCAGGAAGGATGTGGCTCCAGAGCACACTGATTGATGCAGTGGCCAAATCGCTTGCTCACAACTTTAATGCCAGCGGCTGACAAAGCAGAATTTTTGCTCACAAGACTCCACAGCTTAGAGGGAGCATTTGTTGGTGGCCCCTCACAGGGACCTAACACCCCGAGCAGACCCCTCCCCAGTAAAAACTACCCCTACGACTCCCTCGCTAAAAATGACTCTAGCAAGCAGACAACAAGCTTTGTTAGAGAGAAGACTCTGGGGAAAATGCACACAGGATGGAAGCAAAACTCCAGAGGGGGAGTTTTCAGAGAAGGATGCCATCGCCCCCCCCACCCACCGCCAGCTAGCCCTTGAGACGCCACTCCACACACTCACCCGTTCAGCACTTGAATTCAGGCTTGGATGCACCACGGCATTCAGCGAAATCCCGGTTCCAAAACCAGCTCTCCTAGCAAGGGTCGAGGGGGGGGCAGAGAGAGAACATGAGGCTCCCCCCCACTACAACCCGGCTTCTTTTAGTACCCCCCTCCCCTGCCAGCTGGGCCTGGAAGTCGCCAGAGCACTTACAGAGAAAAGTGCATTTCAGACTCGCAGGGGAGAGAGGGACCATTAAGGAAACGCTTAGAACTGAGCCCATTGAGAATGATAAAAAAAAGAATGAATCAACAGGGAACAGCCAGGGCTTATTTTGCACAGAACTATGAATGGCACGGAGAAAGGGAAATTATTCTCTCTTACGCTGCTGCCAGAATCGTCCGGCGAAAGACGCCGCAAGGACAACAAGGGAAAGCATTTTTGCCCTGCAATGCGCAACTAGCTTTTGGAACTCCCCGGCACAAGACGTGCCCATGGTCCCTGGTCAAGACAGCTCGGAAAGAGGATTAGACTAATTCTTGGGAAGAGGACTGGACGTTCAACGGCTACTGGCCATGGCAGCTGAACACAGATCCTCCATGTTCAAGAGCAGTCTCTCTCCAAGTACCAGATACCAGGAACCAACAGTTAGCTAGCTCCGCTGGGCAATGCTTGCTTATGATCCCTGCAAGGGACACCTGGCTGAACACGGATGAGAGAACTCCAGCCTGGATAGGCCTTTGGTCCACGCCTTAGAATCAAAGGAGTATACGCGTGTGTTTCGGCCTTCGTGTACAGGCAGAGGCAGCTCCGTACATCCCAGTCCCCCTGTCGCTGCAAAACCCACGGTGCCTAGCTTTTAACACACCAAATTCCAAAGAAGAAAAGAAGAGAAGAGGAAGAGATTGGATTTATACCCCGCCCTTCACTCGGAGTCTCAGAGCGTCTTACAGACTCCTTTCCTTTCCCCTCCCCACAATAGACACCCTGTGAGATAGGTGGGGCTGAGAGAGCTCTTTCCAGAGCCAGTTTGGTGTCGTGGTTAAGTGCGCGGACTCTAATCTGGGAGAACTGGGTTTGATTCCCCACTCCTCCACTTGCACCTGCTGGATGACCTTGGGCAAGCCATAGCTCTGACAAGAGCTGTCCTAAAAAAAAGAGCAGTTTCTGTCAAGAGCTCTCTCGGCCCCACCTACCTCACAGGGTATCTGTTGTGGGGTGGGGAGGGGAAGGGAAAGGAGTTTGGAAGCCGCTCTGATACACCTTTGGGTGGTGAAGGGCGGGGTATAAATCCAATCTCTTCTCTTCTTCTTCTTTCCAGAACTGCCCTTGAGAGAACAGCTCTTGTCAGAACTACGGCTTGCCCAAGGTCATCCAGCTAGGTGCAAGTGGATGAGTGGGGAATCAAACCCGGTTCTCCCAGATTAGAGTCTGCGCACTTAACCACGAAGCCAAACTGGCTCCACACCACAGCCTCCTAGGATCAGAGATGCCAATGCCCTAGCCTTTCACAGCAGACACCCATTCAACACACACGCATACCCCTGCCAGGGGCAGGAGACCCCCCCTTACCTGCGCATTCGCTTCCCAACCTCGCTGACCAAGAGGCCCGCGTTCCCCAGGGGATTCTTGACGGCCTGCTGCAATCCCCGCAGCTGGCTCCCGGCGTTCTGGGAAGAAGAGGAAGAGGGAGACGTCACAAAGAAGGCGCAACAAGTGCCCGGACAGACCTCTGCGCTCCCCCTTCCCGCTTGGACAGCGTCCCGAAAACTCGCTGGACGGGTTTCAAGCTCGAGCGCCATGCGACACACTGATTCATTTGAATATTCAGATCTGCCTTTCTTTTTCTGGGTCTGCTAGAACTGCTTTACTCCTTATAGGTAAAGGTTCCCTTGCTCGAAAGCCAGTCGAATCCGACTCTAGGGTTGCGGTGCTCATCTCCGTTTCCAAGCCGAAGAGCCAGCGCTGTCAGAAGACGTTTCCGTGGTCATGTGGCCGGCATGACTAAACACCAAGGCGCACGGAACGCTGTTACCTTCCCACCGAAGTGGTACCTATTTATCTACTTGCAATTTCTTGCTTTCGAACTGCTAGGTTGGCAGGAGCTGGAACTAGAGATGGGAGCTCACGCCGTCACGCGGCACACTCAGGTCTCGAACTGCTGAACTACCGACCTTCCACAGCCTGCAGTTCAGCCTCTTAACCACCTGAGCCACCGCAGCTCCTTTTACTCCTTAGGCCCTGCCGCAAATTTTGTGAGTCTTTCAGGTGCTGCTGGACTCTTGTTCTTTTCTACTGCTACAGACAGACTGACACGGTCACCCATTTTGACCTACTCTACTACTCTGTTCCTACTACTATTCTACTGCTGAACTACTCTTACGGTAACAATCCCCCACCCACCCCCAATATCCAGCCGGTACCTTCCCGCCCTTAATTTCAACCCATGATTGCGAGTCCTCTTCTCTGCTGCCAACAGGGACACCTCCCCGTCCTCCTCTACGCGACAGTCCTTCAAATACTTCAAGAGAGCCATCCTGTCCCCCCGCGACCTCCTCGTCTCCAGACTGAGCCTTCCCAAGTCCCTCGGCCTTTCCTCGCAGGGCTTGGTCTCCAGACCCCTGATCATCCTTGTCGCTCTCCTCTGCACCCGCCCCATTCTGTCCACATCCTTTCTGAAGCGATGCCTCCAGAACTGGACAGAATACTCCAGGCACGGCCTGACCAATGCAGTGTACGGCAGGACTCTGACGTCTTGCAATTTGGATGTTATTATTCTGCTGATACACCTCAAGACTGCATTAGCCTTTTTTGCCGCTGCAACTCACTGACTGCTCATATTTAGCTTACAGTCCACCTGTACCCCAAGATCTTCTTCACATGCATGTCTTTCATAGAATCATAGAGTTGGAAGGGACCTCCAGGGTCATCTAGTTAATCCAGCCCCTGCACAATGCAGGAAATTCACAAATACCTCCCCCCCCCCACCCCCAGTGACCCCTGTTCCATACCCAGAAGATGACAAAAAACCCTCCAGGATCTCCAGTCAAACTGGCCTGGAGAAAAATTGCTTCCTGAACCCAATGTGCAGCTGCTGCCCTTTCCAAAGTCATGGGGGGGGGGTTGTTGCTGGGGTCGGCAAGGGTGGACTGCAAAGGTCCCTCATGCTCCCTCTAAGCTGTGGAGTCCTGTGAGCAAAAATTCTACTTTGTGAGCCGGAGGCATTATGAGCGAGCGATTTGGCTACTGCATACATTAGTTTGCTCTGGAGCCATCCTTCCTGAGCTGAGACAAAAATGTGCGAGCCGGAGGCTGAAAAACTGTGAGCTGGCTCACACTAACTCAGCTTAGAGGGAACATGGGTGCCCGCCAATGCTCCCTCTAAGCCCTGGAGTCCTGCGAGCAAAACTTCTACTTTGTGAGCCGGAGGCATTATGAGCGAGCGATTTGGCTACTGCATACATTAGTTTGCTCTGGAGCCATCCTTCCTGAGCTGAGACAAAAATGTGCGAGCCGGAGGCTGAAAAACTGTGAGCTGGCTCACACTAACTCAGCTTAGAGGGAACACTGCCCTCTGCTTCTGTGCATCAAACCTGCCCCTCCGCACTGTCGCGACGGTTGCCTCAGGCCCCTTTTTCCCACCCCACGGATCCCAACCTGGGTCCTCTCTACCCTGGAGCCCAAGACGCCCTTTCCCTGCCTGGCCACCATCTCCATCTCCTCCCACCTCGATCAACCAACCTGGAACCCGTTCAGCGCAACGAACAGCCGCAAGATGTCATTGGTCCCCTCGAAGATCCGGAAGATGCGCAGGTCACGCATCACCCGTTCCACGCCAGCGTCCTGCAGGGACAGAGGTGGAGGAGGAGGAGGAGGAAGAGGAGGAGGAGGTTCAACTGTCTGGAGTCTGGTCTGGTCTGCATGCCCACCTCAAAACAGGCATGCAAAGGATTGTCAGCTCTGGGCTGGAGATTTGAGGGTGGAGCCTTGGGAGGGCGGGGTTTAGAGAGGGGAGGGGCCTCAGCAGGGTGCAACGCCCAGCAGTCCACCTTCCAGAGCAGCCGCTTTCTCCAGGAGAAGCGGAATAAGGGTTTCAAATAAATTAATACATAATAGAGAAGCAATTCATGTCGTCTGGAGGACAGCTGTCCCTCTGGGAGACCTCCAGCCAGGACCTGGAGGCTGGCAACCCTTGGCAGACGGGGGACTGGTGACCGGCAGACGGGGGCAGGGTCCTTGCCCGCACATCCCACGGGCCCCTTACCTTCATGAAGCCCATCCCACCCATGAGCTGGATGCACTCGTCGGTCACGGTCCAGGCAGCTTCCTGGGAAGGGCAGAAGGGGGAAAAGGGCTGGTCAACAAACTGGGAGTCATCCGGGCAGGCTCATTTATTGATGCATTTGGGGGGCTTATTAGTTAGGGGTTATCGCGAGCTGAGGGCGGGGCACCACAGAAATATAAGCAATCAAACCACATCATAAAACCACAAACAATTAAGAATTCAATTTGAAAACAGATGGCGGGCCAGTAATAATCCACTGTGCTACTTGCAATGAAGGGAAGAAGAAGAAGAAGAAGAAGAACCACTTGGGGTTTAACAGTAAAAAGGAGAGGTGCCGCACCCAAGCAAACCTTTTCTTCCTAATGGCTAGCTCTGTTAAGAGCTTTGGGTTTATTCAAGACGCAACACTAATATTGGAGAAGCAGGTTAATTCAGTGGCAAAAAGGCTTTCTACCACCCTCATTTAGACTGGGGGAGGGCTCCCTACCTTGACTCTGCCCATCTGCCCATGGGGATCCATGCCACAGCGATCTCAAGACTAGATTACTACAATGTATTCTACATGGGTCTGCCCTTGAAGTCAGCATGGAAACTCTGGTAAGTACAGAACGCCGTAGCTCAATTCTTATCAGGGGCTCACCAGAGCCTGCGTAGTAAACCCCATTCTGCAGTCTCTTATCCGTTGCCTATCAGTTACGGGGTTCAGTTCCAGATGCTGGTTATCATCTACAAAGTTGCCTCAAACCGTCAGATCTGCAGGGCGTCTTTTGCTATAGCTTCGCTCGTCTAAGCAAAGGTGCCACCTCACAAATGGACAAGATCAGCAGTTGCCCGTACACGTACAGTCCTCATAGTCGCCCCCCCCCCCCCCCCGCCCCGCCCCTTCTCACCGAGCCAAAAATCTTGCTGATGGCTGCTTCGATCTGGAAGTCCGACGCTCCTTGATCCATATTGGCGCTGATCATGTAGGCCATGGACTGAGGGAAGAAGAGAGCCAGGGTCAAGCCGTTTCTACCATCTCCCCCTCCCTCCAAGAGGCTCAGGGTGCCGGACACAGTTGCCCCTCCTGCCCCATTTGTCCTCACAACAACCCTGGGAGGGAGGCACGGCTGTGGACAAGTGAATGCCCCAAGGTCACTCAGTGAATTTCTTGAACAACCGGGGGGGAGGGGGGATTCCGAGCCAGGATTCTCCAATCCTAGTCCAACACTCTGAACAACACACCACGGTGTCCGTATCGGGCAAGAGCAGGGTTCCCCATGGGCACACCGTAGCACCCACCAATCCTCCCTTTGGCACCCGCCAAGCTCTTCAGGAAGTGGGTGGAACCACCGGAAGGCACGGCTCGCTACTGGCTCCTCTCCTCCGAATGGAAGGGCTTCCCATGGCTGCAAAGCAGGGAGGGGGGTACTGCGATCGGCTCTGTCTCTTGCAGCAAACCATTTTAGTATTTGGTTCCGACGCCTGCCTTTTTGGGTTGGCGCTCTCCACTCTCTCTCAGAATTCCGTAAGAACATAAGAGACGCCAATGTTGGATCAGGCCAGTGGCCCATCCAGTCCAACACTCTGTCACACAGTGGCCAGAAATACCAGGTGCCATCAGGAGGTCCAGCAGTGGGGCCAGGACACTAGGAGCCCTCCCACTGTTGCCCCCCCCCCCAAGCACCAAGAAGACAGAGCATCACTCGCCCCAGACATAAGAACATAAGAGAAGCCCATGTTGG